GTGGATCCATAACAGGTGGATCCACAACAGGTAGATCCATAACAAGTAGATCCATAACAGATGGATAAAGAACAAGTGAATCCATAACAAGTGGATCCATAACAAGTGGATCCATAACAAGTGGATCCACAACAAGTGGATCCATAACAGGTAGATCCATAACAGATGGATCTATAACAAGCTGATCCACAACAAGTGGATCCATAACAAGTGGATCAAGTGGATCAATAACAGGTGGATCCATAACAAGTGGATCTATAAAAAGGAGATTTATTTTGACAGCCCTAGTTTGGGGGGCCTCACCTGCTCCAGGCTGAAGTTGTCCTGCACCTGGGGGTCGGGACATGGCCCCCATCCAAAGGTCTGAGCCGAGGCCAGAGGGAGCAAAAGCAGCAGGAGCTGGACGGCCGCCATCGTTGCTTCAGGAGAAAAGAGCCAGTTTAGTGCTGCGTTTAGGGGAAATGGGAAATGAGAACACCAGCTCTTATGTTGGACCGGATCTGCCTGTTTCTGGTTGATTTAGGCGTTCCTTCTCTGAACATCTGGACAAAGATCTGACATAAAAAAAACTTGGGAATGAAAAAAATGGCTGTATTAATATTTAAAACCAGAAAATAAACAGATAAACAACTAAATCTGTCTTCTGGTTTATGATTTCTTTTATAAAAGTTGTGTTTAGTGTACATTGTTCCTTCTCTGGCCAAAGATCTGAAATCGCAAATCTCTTGGGGATTAACCTTCAAGATTAAATGTTTTTAAAGTAGAAGTTGACGTTATATGTCCAAAAAAAATCGCTCTATTGATATTTGAAACCAGAAAATAAACCGATAAACAAGTTAATCTGTCTCCTGGTTTATGATTTTGTTTACAAAAGTGAGATTTTGTGTACATCGTTCTTTCTCTGTACATCTGGACAAAGATCTGACATTAAAAAAACTTGGGAATAAACCTCTAAGATGAACTGTTTCAAAAGTAGAAGTTGTTATTGTATTGTTGTATTTGTTATAATGTACAAAATAAATGGCTCTATTGATATTTGAAACCAGAAAATTATCCGATAAACAACTAAATCTGTCTCCTGGTTTATAATTTTGTTTATAAAAAGTGATAAAATAATTTGCAGAGCAAGAAGAAAGTGGAAGATGGAGCTGCTCTAACAGAGGACGATATTTTACCTTTAACAACAAGAATTATCGCTCATATTTGCAAAAAAAAGTAGGAAATAAATTAAAATGTAGTTTCTTTGGACCTCTGTGCAACACATGGCTCAAAAAACACATTTCAAAACCTGCAACAAACCAGACTTAAGATATGACACAAATTAGCCTAATTTATGGCTCAAATAACTCAAAAAAGCAGAAAAATCTGAAAAAAAGCAGAAAAATCTGTTTTTTTAGACTAGTCTGGATTCAGCCTCATATGTCAGCGGGTTGTAGGGAGTGCTGTCCTTTCTGCATACCTGGCCTGTATGGATCACATGTTGTCACACCTGTTTTTCTGGTTAAACAGAGCGACTCCTGTGCATGTGAGTAGTGTTTAATAACAATAAAAGGCACTTTTAGAGGTCTCTCAACAGGGTTTATTCCCTTTATAATTCAAATAAATACTCAAAAATGCAGAGGCTGAAAACAATTCCAGGTGTTAAACTTAAAAATGTGTTTGGTGTCCTAAAGATCATCCTGTGTTAAACCATTAGAGCACAGACAAAATACTAATATACAGGTAAACACAGGTAATTTCAGTCGGCTTCCAGAAGTTTTACTTACCTGTGCTGAGCTGTGAGATGTCAGGGGAAGGTCTGAGGCTGGTTCCAAGAGTCAAGCAGGTTTTAAACCACAACAGGTCACTTTTTCTGGGTATTGTCATTACGCACACGCCCCCCACACACCCTCAGCAAAACACCGAGGGACTGCCCCTACCTTTAATCTATTGTGCGCATCTACGTGGCGAATTACGGTGATGCTGCATTCCCCAGAGTCATATTGCGGAAGAAAATTAGGATAGAAAGTTAAATAAATTAAATAAAGATGACTGAATAGATAAATAAATAAATAAATAAATAAATAAATAAATAAATAAATAAATAAATAAATAAATAAATAAATAAATAAATAAATAGCGATGCAATCTTGTTGTTAGCTTCCAAAACCACTACCATACGAGTAATAGTGTTGCCATGGAAACTGCTAATCCCAACGTCTGCCACTTCAGTTTTTCAACCCGTTGTTGAAAAGTTATCGAAGAAAAAAAGACAACTAAATGATTTAATATTAATTTTAGAAGGAAGTGTACTATAATAAATGACTGATTTGACTGATTTAATGTGACAGCTGCTCAGGGAAGATCTGGGGCGTTTCCGGTCACTCCAAACACGTTCGTAGTAGTTTTATTGGGCGTTTGTTTTAACGTAGCGTAATTTAAGGTACATTTTCTATCGTTTTCATGTTTAAAACTTTTATTTAGGAGACCATCTGAGTAGTACAATCGTGTTTCAATGTTTTAATGTTTTAAACTTTTAAGATAACAGAGATCTGAGTTCTAGAGCTAATCACAAGATGGCGCCAAAACCGCGGGTAAACATTAGGGATTAAATAAAAATGGCGGTTACTTCTTTTAAATTAAAATAAATTGTATGTACAGAGCAACGCTAATGAATATTCTACTTATGCAGACTTCTTGAAACATTGAAATGTTGAATATTCGCCCTCCTTAATTTAATTTGAAGCAAAACGTAAGTAAGAATAGTTTGGAAAATAAGTGTTTACATTTCTAATTGTCTAATTGTAATTGATCCCTTTGCCCTCAACACAACTATCTGTCATTTCTTTAACAGTCTCCAGAAGTACTTATCCAGGATATTTGAGAAACATCCCAAAGCTCTTCACTGAAGAAAATCTATAAAGAAATGAGTAGTTAAAACTATTTGTATCTGCTGTAGTTTGTGATCTTCTCACTTTGAAGATAATAAGGTAAGTTTCTTCCTATTCTAACATTGTTTCAACACTTGCGAAACATGCAGAGGGAAAAGAATGACATATAATGAATACAAAACACGAGAATCTTATAAAGATTATTTATTTCCAGTGTTTGTCAGGAAGGGTTTCACCCATGTTCTGCTGTACACAGGCCACATGTTCACTCTTCAGCAAACTTTGCCTCATGCAGTTTCAAACTTACTATAATCTGAGTTTTTCTCCCAGTTTTAAGCGCCCATGCATCATACTGCCCTTAAAGAGACAGATTTGGGTAAATGAATTCATTTAGAGTGAAGCGAAACATAAAAACCAATATTAATTTAAGTTGAACCGAAAATGGGAAACAAATCTGGAATGCCTGTGAGGTTATTTTGTCTTGACAACTGTCTATAAAAGTATAAACAGTTTAAAAAAGAAAAAAAATGTAGGCACTTTTTCTCCTGGAGATAAAAACAATTCAGAAAAGAAAAAAAAACATACCTTTTTTTGGATTATAACTCGACATAATTTGGAAATAAAACGACTGTACCAAGCATTACATACTGTAGTATCAGCATTTGAGTCTTTTTTTGATAAATCTATAATAATCCTCCAGTCCCCTCAAGCTAATATCTGGCTGATGTGAGTGTACTGTGAAAAAGAAACTTCCCACAGCACCCAGCTCAGAAAGCAGCCCTCACTTATGTCCACGTACTTCAAGTACAAGCAAAAAACAAACAAAAACATACACGAATGACTAGTTTATGTCCAGAAAGAGGAATACATTCTTCTTAGAGGAAGATGGCTCCTGCTCCTTCTTTTTAACAGAGCTGGTAAAACTGTTGTAGAAAATGGCAACTGGTCACATTCTTCTCGGTTTAAGTTTTAATTTCCAGTCGGGAGAGAATCACACGGGGGGCCTTATACACGCTTATGTACAGTAAATAGGTAGAAAAAATAACTTTATTTTTGGGGGGGCTTCACAGGTACTGGTAGAACCGGGAGCGCACCACCTGGGCTCCGGACAGCTTGTGCGGGTGGGCGTCGCCCGCCACGGAGGCCGCCTTCTTCCCGTTGGCGTGCTCTAGCGGCGGCCTATCGGGCGCCACTTCCTGGTCGTCCTCGGCAACGGCTTTGGGCGCCACCCGGGGCTG